AATAGTCAACAGATTGACACTGAAAATAATCATCTGTTGTGATTCTAAAAGAGAAATAGAAGTCGGGATGAAAACTGTAAATTGTTTTCTGAACCAATAATCGACAGTGTTGTCAATGAATAATTGATTAATCATGAAGGATTGGAGACATTTTCAAAATACTGGTGGAGCTGCTACCTGCAGACATTTGCTGCAGAAGCAGGTTAAATCTTTTATACATCGTTATTGAACTGCTGTCCAGAAAGCCATGAAATGTCACAGAAGTCTTTGTCATGGTGCCCGTTGTTACTTTAACTCCCACAATGCTCTCTGCCTGCCAACGTGGAACTGGCCGTGGTTTGAGCAATCGCTTCCTCAGCTCTTCAACAGCAAGACACAAATATGACAGATAACGGAATAAGGCTGTAACGATTAGTCGACAACGTCGACAATATAAATTCATTGACGCAAAACTTCATTGTCGATACGTGGCGTTATAAACGTCCTGTAAGGGCTTTGATAGTAAAACACTGCACCGGGCATGTTAACACCGTCCTTACCAACCATAGCTTTCCAGACAGTATGAGAAGTCCCAACACTACGCAAATGACTGCAACGCACCACAACAAATGCTGGGGGCAGTACTGTCACTATTTGCAGCGTCTGTGTTCTCAACCAGCGAAGAACAACTCAAGACCGATGGCGACACAAGCTGAGCAGGGTCAGAGTCGAGTCAAGACGAGGCCTTTCTTCCCAAAGTTTGGCAATACTTCAAGTTAAAGTGTCACATCAGGTGAAACGTGCAGTCTGCCACGCAGAGTTGGCGCAACACGGCAGCATAACAGTCCTGCATGAGCATCTGAAAAGAAAGCACCCTGGAGTCATGGCTCCCAGCATTCCGGATGGTAAATTAGCATTACTGTGTGTATTTTTGTTTACTTTGCGAGAAACAGGCTACGTAGTTCAGGATGACATTAATCATTTTGAGGCCATTTCATTAAAATTAACATGTTTAGTGCAATAGAACACAGAATTACAGAAGTGTACAGTTTCTCTGACAGTGCTAACAGTAACTGCAACCATTTTTAGGACCACAAAGACACAAAACAAGAAGCCTACTGCTTCGGCAAACGTAATCATTTATTAAGACGACAGCAGCACACGCTAGCATCATTAAAAATGTAGCGTGTCTCAGGCGGGTGGCTTAAACACGGTTCCAGTTAATCCCAAAGTATCTGACTTTTCCCCTAACTTAGCCTGCCTAGCCCAGGTTTTAGCTCTGTGGGTTGAAGCATCAGACTAGGCCTATATACTGTTTGGTAACTGGAAATCAGGGTGACATTTATGGGATGGGGTAAAACTTGCACTGGAGCCTGTAAAAAGAGCTGCGTCAACAGGAAGCCCAGATGGTGGGCGTGACAGAAATAATTGAAAAAATAATGGACAGATTAGTCGACTACTAAAATAATCGTTAGCAGCCCTAATGTGGAATACATTTTCTGACCTGCATGTTCTTCATCTTCTGCCTTATCAGCTCGTATATTTTTAATCAGTGAAATTATAAAAGAGACAATAAATCGATCAGCCATTAACAAGCCTACTCCAAAGTTTAAATACATACTGCTAATAAGCATGCCAGTTACTTCTCTGAGCAACAATTACAAATAATTTCAACATTTAACCCAACATTTTTACCAAGATTTTTAGCAGCCAGGCAGATATTAAAGTACAATGATGCCTCCCTAAAACTTCAGCTAAGGTCAATTCATGCTTTCTGCATCTTTGGTGGCTCACTGATGCAGTCTTATCAAAAACACACACACACCAAAAAAAAAACACATGGCATTCCCATGGTTGGTTCTAAAAGGCTGCAATTGTGTTGTTTTTTTTTTTACAGGATATAAAAGCTCATTACTGATCAGGCTGCAGCACAGAGTGAGTTATTATTCCTGCCGTGAGCCAAATGCTATAGAACAGCCGGCTGCTGGAGTTTGTTGTTGTCCCAAACACAGTGAGTGGACATAGTAAAGGGTTTTTTTTTTTGAGAATTTGGAGCCTCCTGCTGTGTTTGGGTGCCACTGATTGGACCAGCAGACACAACTTTGATTGCAACTCTCAGAAAGATTAATGAAAAAGGTGTGGAGTATCTCAAGAGCCAAAATGAGCATTTGTTTTGTCGGCAAACTTGCAGAGCATACGGTCTGCGCAACCACAAAATTTAGGCTGAAGGTGAGCGTCCACAGGGGACCAACTTGGACAGGTGATGAAATTCATGTCACACGAACCATTTGCAGAAACACAAAGCTTGAAGCATCCTGAAGCAGTCATTGGTTGGCGGTTGAAGGTCCAGTGTTGCCCAATACGCAGCACGTGGAATCAGCACGGACACCGTTAAGGACACAGTCATGACAATGTAAAGAGCTATATTTATATAAAACCATTCGAGGCTGCTAATGTTAAGTTTATTTATGTCCTAAATGCCAATGGAGAGGCTGTGGGGTGGAAACGACTCGTTGATTTACTGTAATGCTGCAGCTTGGCATTGCAGTTTCACTGTCAGTCACTGTTAAGTTCTTACTTCAGCACTGGACTTCTCTAAATTTACTTCTATTAGAGTACAAATCCTTGGTCACACTGAATTAACTTGCTTGCGCGCTGCAAAAACCACACGTTTAAGCAGCAAATAAATCTATTCTATTATTTCTAAGTAAATCTTAAAATAACAGTTTACTCAAGCAGATTTTAGACCTTTATGGAGCTCACTGTACTAGAAATGTGCTTGTACACAGATGTCAGTTCAGCAGCAGCACTTCTGCTCTTTTCCTTTTTTTTTTGTCATAGCATTCTTTCCACCTTACTGAGGAGCAATATTCTGCTTTCACATTTCCTCCACATCTGAACGCAGCAGACTCTGCGAGTGAAACGAAACGCGCCCGTGCTGTTGTATGATTAACTGTGCAGCCCTGACGCCCCACTCTTACCTTGGGACAGATTGATGAGCAAAGGTCACGATGCAACCTTGTGCCGCTGCTAGCGCTATCCGGCCACAGCCACTTCACATGATTACTTGACGACACGGACTCGTGACTGCTCGCAGGAAGGGCTGCGTTCTGCTTTTTGTTTTGTTTTTATTTGGGCGAGTTGAGATCAGGTTTACAGCCTGACATTACAGCATGTTTACAGTGTTACCTGAAGAGACACGCCTGTCACGTTTGAAGGGTTCAGTTAACGCTCAGCATTTACAGCGACTTACAAAGAATGATTATGTGTTCAGTAATCACATTAGTAAGCACGCAAAGTGTGTCTGATAAGAACAAGCAATAACGTTGCTTCATTTCTTTCAATTAAAGTTAGCTGGGAGCAGCTGCGACGTTACGTTTCCTTATAATAATTTGAAATCTTTCAGGTTTGCATTACTCAAGCTGACACTGACTAAATAAATCCACGAGTTTGAGTAGTCAAGTAGTTGATTTATGCAAAAAAATTGAGTCAAACTGCTGAAGAGGCAACTTTAAAATGTAGTGCTTGTTACAACCAAAAGCATAAAGTATTTGTAGTTTTCTTTTAGACATTTTTTAGTCACAAAAAGCCTTTAAAAAAAAATTGACCGCCTCCTACTTCCCTAGAAAGTCCAACAACCAATTAGTGGTCATATTGGCTGGGTTGGTCAATAAATCAAAGTATGTGTCCAATTAACACACTGATAAGCACCGAGCCAATTGTGAAACAAACAGCTGTTTCACAAAAACACGTCTGTTTTTTTCGCACTTCCTCATTTTCTGCCCGTGTGACGGAGGACATTTCTGAACACAACTAGTCTGTCCACATCCCATAGAGCTGGTAGTGAGCAGACAGGCACAGCTATTGCACAAGTCACTCTTTATGTCTTTATCCAGGGAGGCCTGTTGTTTCTTATTCTAATGTTGCAATCCAATTACGTGAGTACACGTTAACATAAAACTCCAGTGTCTCCAAATCAGCCACTGGAGGAACAACTTGCAAAACTTTAAAAGCAATAAAGTGACGCTTAGACTTTTTGGGAAAACCTCCATTTGTGGTTTGTTTTGGAATACTTCTTTGTGATGTTTTATATTTCAAAATGTCAATATTCACTGTGTAGTAAACTTAAGAGCGCCACCGCTCTGATGAGATACCATCAAATGTGTGACTTTTTGCACAAGGAGGTTGGCATGAATTCATGAAACCACTGACATGACGGTTAAAACACTGACACAGATGCAGATTGCATAACCTACATCCCAAACTGCAGCCTTTGCAATTCAAAGAATGACACTGTTTTGACTTGAAATCAACAAATTGGCAGCAACTAATGATTATTTTAATTGGCGACCAATCTGTTGATCATTTTTGGTCTATGAAAAGTCTGAAAATGGGGATAAATGTCCATCAGAGCTTAAGCTTGTGTCTTGTTTTGTCCACAATCCAAAAAAGTTGACAATCACAAAAGAATAAAGAAATGAGCAAATGTTCACATTTAAGGAGTTGAATCAAGGAGTGTTGACTTTTTTTTTTTTAGAGAAACTTGTTGACAACAACTCTCTAGTTCTCCTGTAAAGAGAGCAAAACCCTTTATACTCCCAAACAAACCCTCACGGGACAAAAGCAAACTGTCAAAGAACTTGATTTTCAACGGCTGGATCTTTACAATGTTGTATGTTGACACAGGAGGATTGGACCGTTGATACCCTGGAGGCCAACAAACCCCCTCAGTGGAGCAGCTGAAGCAGGATGTAAACCACAGCTGTATGGGGGGAAAAGTCTTAATTCAAGCCAGGAGTCAAGTCCCTGGTGTCCCAGTTTGAGTACCAGCACAGGATGGATGAGGAGGGCGACCCATCTCAAAAAAACACCCCTTTCTTGTGCAGATGTTTAAGGGGAAAATCTGAGCTTTTAAACCAATTACCAACCCAGCTGGAGTTCGTGCTGCCTGGAGGGTGTGTCCCCAGAAAACATCATGATGTGAGATTAATGTGGGGGAAAAAAAGGTTTAATCTACATACCTTCTGCAATCAGCTCCTCCACGGTGACTTGATACCGGCCGACCGCGAACACTTTCCCGAAGTAGCTGCTGACTCCGGAGCTGGATCCGGACCCGGACGCCCCTCCGAGTCCGCCGCTCTCGGACTTTGGCATTCTGGAAAACTTCTTCATCCTCTCGCTTCCTCCGTCAGGCCACCAAACGCGATCCCAAATCGGGTGGCGAATCGATCCACCACGCAGTCCAGTTTTAAACTCGGCTAGTGTCCGACGTCCCCTATCTACTTATCTGGGGTCTTTTCTCCTCCTGCATACTCCGCGTCGGGTTCTTCTGGAGGGACGACTCGCTGTCGGACGATACGACATTAAAAAGTTAATACACAGGCGTCATGGCGGGATGATATGATAAAACCGCGTCCCGAATTTCGTTTTGTAAAAAAAAACAAAAAACAAAAAAAAATAACTGGTTCGTTAGCTAATGTGACACATCACGCTAACTGGTTCTTGCTAGCATGCGTGGACTCAGTCAGGGCACCGACAATGAAAAAGGAAGACGAGCACAACAATGCAGCCGCCGACAACAACCTCCTCCGGGGATATGAACAGCCCAACGGTGCTCTGAAAGCAGCCCCCTCGCCGCGATGCTAGCGGGACGTTAGCTTCACACGCCGCGACTTGCTCACTTCACTCGGGCGCTGCGGCTAGTTAGCCCGCTAGCTGCTGGTGTGGCTAGCTAGCTAGCTAGCGTCAACGGTTCCTCCGCGAGACGAGCCGCCCCGAGCGCAGGCGGGCTGACACAGCCGTGATTGGAGCAGCTTATCGGAAAGCCCCCGGCGGAGTGGTTTCGTCCCGTTTGGTCGGCGTTACCTCCGGTCTCCTCGGTGTCATCTCCGCGGAGCTCCGCTAGCGTTAAACTTCTCGTGACTCCCAAACGGCAGGCTTCAAAATAAGTGGGTGGTTTGTTATTTACCCGATAATGAGAGTGACAACCTAACCTGACGAGGCCCCGCCCACTCCCTGTGTTCTGACTGGTGGAGGCAGATAAATATGGAAGTCCGGTGGTGCCTAAAGGAGCAGAACATGAATGAATGAAGTGAGGCTTGATGTAAATAAAAACAATGCAAGGTCAGGTAAAAGCATGACAAAGACGTTAGAATTTTCAGTTACAAAAATTTGACTTTTCTTAATTATTTCATCATATTGACTTGTAATATCAAAAAAAGGATCTCAGAATTTCATTATATGGTAAATGGTAAATGGTCTGCACTTCTATAGCACCTTTCTGACTTGGTGGTACTCAAAGTGCTTTGCATGTGTTTCTCATTCACACACATTGATACACCAAAGCCTGCATTAGAAGCAGCTTTAGTAGGTTTAGATTCTTATTAAATCTGTTAGCTAGAATTTCATTTGCTCATTTCTTTTATTTTTGAAAACAAACTCAAGGCCTACCTTTTCCATCAGGCTTTTGATTTAACTAATTTTATTTACAGATTTCTCTATTGATGTTTTACTTTATTTATTTAATTTATCATTTGTTATTCTATGTTAAATAATCTTTGGTACCTATTTCTATCTTTATCTTTCTCTATTTCGGTAACATGTTTAATTTGATTTTATTTATTTACCTATCTTATGTTATCTTATCTGGTGTTCCCTCATTGCACCTGTTAAATGGGATTGCATTTCCTTAGTTTCTCATATCTGTGTTTTAGAGTCCTTTATCTCTAACATAACGACATTGTTTTATTGCATTTTTATGTTTGTATAGCGCTTTGTGTTGCATTGTATTTGTATGAAAAGTGCTATATAAATAAAGTCTGACTGATTATTATGCAATTTATTTCAATTTTATCTATATAGCACCAATTCACAACATATGTTATCTCGTAGCACTTCACACAGTAAGGAGAAGACCTTACACATTTTAAACAAGGATCTCGAAAATCTAAAGTTTCCTTTGGCTTCCCTTTGGGTGAGCACTCTGGGACAGTGGGAAAAACCCAACTAGTCGGTTAGCAGGTATGTTGAGCCTGAAGTCACAGTTATCAGGATCTTAAAGGTGGCTCTCTTTTGACCTGCTAGATCACCATGGTCACTGATTCTGTGGAGCTATCCTGGTCAGCAGGTTACATTCAGAGCTGGAAGAAGTGTCTCCCTTTGACCAAATCATTTAGTGATGATTCTCTATGAACGATACAGATTCTCAGCTGGAGGAATGTGTTTCATCTGCAACCTGTTCATTTGTATGTTACTAAAACCACTGAATGATGTCATGCAGTTACAGTTTCCCACACTGTATGCATCTCGTTGCCATGGGAACCCAACATGTATTTAGTTGGTGATGCAGAAATCACATAAATATGTTTTTATGTTTAATCTGTTTACACTGCAGCTGATAGAAGACCGATTATTCTACTGGTATTTATTACAGAGAATATTAAATCATTAACATTAATTTCACTTCGATTTGGCCAAACATTAAAGTGATATCCTGCATGATGGGACAGTGTCAGATTCTAAATGCACTTTAATACAATATCACGCTTAAATATTGGAAGTTTAAAGTTTGACAGCTTGAATGTGCGGCTGTCAGTTAGAAAAAAGCAGCTGCAAATACATCAACACACGTTTAACAGTTTTCTACCAACATTCCTTTTTAACCGTCATACATTTTTATATTCAAATTGATGTTTTTTGTTGGACTTTTCTCTATGATATTACAGCATAAGTTCTTCATGTTTACTCTGTGAAGTTCCCTGAGATGATTTATTATGTGAACTGGCACTAAATGAATAAAACACATCATGCGCATATGATGTCGTCATGCACATTGTATAACAATATGGTGGGATATTTGTCACATTTTAAAAAAAATTTTAAACTTACTTATTCAACATTAAGAAACAGGCTTTAAAATTTCTGACTTACAATCTTTTTTTGATTTTTTTTTAATGCTGAACTTTAATCTACATTTCCTTTTCTTGGTAGGAATGGGCTTCCATAGAAGCGCCCAGACAATACTCATCTATGACTGGGCGGCATGAGTGACAGACTGAGCAGTTTGGTTGAGGAAGGAGAACACAAAATAGGCTGGAAAGAATGCAGTGCATGGAGAAATAAACAAACCTCAGGCTGCACTGAAGTAATCTGTTATCCTCATCCATTTTCATCACCCTGTTCATTATTGAAAACCCCAGTCCCACCAGCTCAGATCCTCATCTGTGTCTTTGTTCCTCCCTATGTAAAATATTTCTGGTGTTGTTGTTTTTTTGAGGGATGTTACTTCCTCAATATGTGTAAATTGATCCTTTTGCACTCGTTGATAATCATCCGCTGTGGAGAAAAAAACAATGCAATTTTTCACGAGGCACTGCCGACGAGGAAGTGGTGCGACAGCTGCCTCTGTCTTTGTGAACAAAGGCTGCTGTGCACACTGGACTTTTCACCACATAACTCCACAAGACTTTCATTCCTTCACGGTGTAACTCGTGCTACATCGCTCCAGGTCCCCTTTATTGTCGGCACATCAGTTGCCAGAGGATAGAAAACGCCTACTTCTGTGGATAAGTGGTCACAATTACCATATTCAGGTCAGCGGTTAGAGGGGGAGCACATGGCTGAGATGAGGATTACATAAGAGATAAGGAGGAGCAGAGGGGGATCACATGACTGCATAAACCCCCATGTCTGGACACATCCTGTTTCTGCAGGGGGGAATCTTTCCTCTCTGACACACTTATTGTTGTCTGGCTGTCGGTGAGGTGTTTGCTGCCACCTGTTGGTGTTTGAATACGCAGAAACATGCAGATTCACCATCATTCAGTCCAACCACTCAATCAGCCTCAACCGGGTTCCTGAGCTGACCTCTGACCTCCTGAACATTTAGGACGCAAGCAAGACTTCCTTAAAAAGCGAATTGCAGGTTGGTGACGACAGTAAACTAATTAATTAATTAATTAATTAATTAATTAAAACTTTTGAAAAATTACACCTACATATGCACAACAATGACATTTAACAGACATTTACGTCGTGTTCAAGGAACAAAACTCAGTCATGACATCAAAAGAGGGAGAGCAGCCAAGCTAGGTCCAGTTTAACAATAAGAAGTATGGATCCTAACTTTAGTTTTGACCCTGCAGAAGTCAAACACATGCATTTACAGTGAAAACCAGAAGTTTACATACAACGCATAAAAAGACATAAAAACTTTTCATTTTTTCTCACCATCTGACATTAAATTAGATTAAACTTTTCCTGTTTGAGGTCAGTTAGGATCACCAACATTATTTCTATTTGAGAATAGTGAGAGAGATTTTTTTTTTTTATCACTCCATCACTCCATCTCCATTTTTTATCACTTTTATCACTTCTCCAAAGTCAGAAGTTTACATCCACTAAGATCCTTCAAACTATTAGGTAAAGCCCAGATGATGATGTCATGACTTTGGAAGGTTTTAATAGGTTAATTGACAACATTTGAGTTAATTGGAGACACACCAGTGGATGTATTTTCAGGTACACCTCAAACACACTGCTTCCTTTTGTGACAACATAGAAAATCTAAAGAAACCAGCCAAGATATCAGGAAGAGAATTGTGGACCTCCACAAGTCTGGTTCATCCTTGGGTACAATGTCCAGTCAGAGTCCTGGTAGGAGAGTGTCATTATCCACAAATCTCTGACTGATCTGTGATCATTACTTCTGCTGGCGCCAGAACTGAAACTGAAGCAACCGTGTGGACCGAACCAGCTGTAAAACATCATTGCATCTCCAGGAACATGAGCCTCCCGTCTCAAATGAGCATTGCACATCAATGTGTTTGTCCAAAAAAACTTTGAAATGCAAAATATTTAGCAAAAACCCAACTTTCTGCATCGTAGCTGCTCAGACTCACTGCACTGAGGCAGAGACGACTCCTTAGTGTGACCTAATGACCATTTTTAAGAGTTCTGTTCACGTTTTCTTTAGAATTTCTGCCTTTGAAATCATGCGTTAACTTTTCAACAATCATTAACAAGAAATATTAGATAGAAATTTTGTTTAAAAAAAAAACGTAACCTGCAACTTGCTTTTTACTCAATTCATCCAAACAATTCAGAGCTAACGAAACCACCAAAAAAATTTTTCCACAATCAGCAACCAAACGTCTGCCAAAGTTGGAACAGTTTCACAGAATAGATTTCTGTATTTGTGTGTTTTTGGACGGAGACTTCTCACTGGTAAGGAGCAGGCATGACTCAGTTGGAAAAAAGTCCCACCCTGAAACTTTCTCAAAGAAGCGGAAGAGTTTTTGGACTTTTAAACCTTCAGATTACAGCGTTGTGTTGTCGCTGTAGCAGTGAAACTCCGGTTTTCAGGAGTTTCATTGATGCTGATGATGATGATCAAAGAGTCTCAAACTGAGCTCAAATAAACCAAATAAAGATCAAGTTTGCTGGACCTTGAATGAAAGTTTGTCTTGGACTTGCAAACTATTTACTATTTGGTTTGGTTCCAAACATAATTCCCACTACAAACACTATAATCAGCGCGTGATGAAGGGTCACGAATGCACTATAAGTGGGTCTATTTTAAGGGTTTCAAAGCAAAAGAACTGGCAACCACTGGCTCATAATGTTCAGGCAAGTATTCAACAAAGCTCGTTTTAAATCTAGAGATGCCAAATTTACCAAACATACAAAGTGTGTTTAAAGGAATTCTGTGAAAAATGTTGTACAAAACGAGTAGATTTGATGAAATGGTGCAGCCATAAAATATGGAGAGAGCTGGAACAAGCTGATATGGAATATATTTCAACATCGCAAGACAGTGGACTAATACAACGTGTCCATATCAAAGCAAATTAATAAGAA